ATAGTTGGATTGATATCAGATCATTAGGTAATATATTATATAATATACATCCCAAAACACCAAATACAGTTGTGAAAACTTTGTGGTTATGTAGAATATACACTGTTGTGATGATAGTCAGATTTATCAATACAATTCATTAAGAACTAATGTAAGGTGTACCTACCAAGTTAATTAAAACAGGATGAGATTTGCATTCCAGCTACATCTCAATTTCCATGGGAGTACCCAAGAATGTCCCTAAATCAAGAGGTGGTACCAATTTTCCAGGAACTTATATCTAACTTGCCATGGCGTCTTCCACAGGCAAAATGAATCAAATAAACTTTTAAAGGACCTTTAAAACAGTCTTACAAAAATGCTGACCTTTTGCTGGAAAACCAGGTCGATTCTCTTACATAATTGAGAAATTGAGAAAACTGCAACCCCCCCACCCCCCCAAGCATTGTCACCAAAAAATTCAATCAGTTTGGAACAATAATTTGTTTAGATCTGAAATGTTCAGTGGCGGAAACATTTAATTGCCAAAATTAGGAACTTTAATTCTGGCTCAGTGGTATCCAATTTACTGCAATACACTTTCACTGAATGGACTTAGTGTACAGACTTATAACACATCAGTGAAACTGTTCACAAATGCTTGACCCAAAAATAACAAAATTTATGTAACAAGCTTTTGGTTACAATTTACTGGCTTCATGTTAGCGTAAAAAATTAAGTCAAACATTCAAAGTCTCAAAAAGATGTCTCAACATGGTCATAAATATTTTGGGAAAACCATTACTGGAATAATTCAGATATCAAGATAGAAAATGCTGAAATACACTTAATTTTGAGTCAGAAATAGCAATGATTTAATTAATAAAAAGGTAAACGTTCATGTTTGACACATTTTTCACACAATTTAAAATAATCAGACTTTTACTTTTTTTCTGGCAATTATAAATGCAAATACTACAAGCAGTATTTAAAAAAACTGATAGGCATGGAAAGTTGGCAACCTTAATCTTTATGGTTTGAGTGGACTTCAAAGCCAATGGAATTTATGTAAGTCCACTTTTCTAGTCTTCAAACTTTTTGTAAAAATGGTGCTGAACATTTTGTCGCGGACCTCTTCAAAGGATGTTTACGTGAAAGAGGAAGAAAATTTAGAACAATCTTATCCTTGCTAGACATATTTTAGAGAAATGTTCTACATTCTACGTAATTTTCACTTGTATATCAACAAGCTTTCCATTAAGGAAAATAGAAAGCAAAGTAAATCATAACAAACATTAGGGTATGTTAAACAAATATACATTTAATTACTATTCATACAATGATTTAAGTTACAGGACACATATTTACAAAACTGTGTTCTATCACACTATTCTGGAGAGCACAGACAAGTTTTTAACCAACATTTGATCTGGATCCTGATACCATTTGCAGTGATGTCAGCTGACCCCCATGTTACATGCTAACCTCTTTCCATAACAATATCCAAAACCAAATTAAAACTCGTGTCACTCGATACTTCCAGGAGAACCAGAAAATGTATATTTCATGATGCACCCCTAATAATGTAGTAAAATCAAAATTAGCCATAGAGTGAATTCAGATCTTTCACCTCTACTCCAGAGCCCCCTCCCACCTATACTCTACTGGACTTGACAATGACGCCATTTCTACAAATGTGAAGACACTTTTTTTTAAACTCCAAGTACAAATGTTGTAACAAGAATATAACTACATTAATGTCATTACTCTAAAGTTCTATGACCAAGTATGTCACTATTACCACTCGATACATCCCAGAGACATTTCAAATTATTTCATGAAAAAAAGTTGGTTTCACACAAAGTCTAGATTTGGGTCTAGCTTGATAAATAAGAGAAGAAAAATATGATCAGAAGCTAGTTCTGACCTGATTTTAACCTCAAATTAAGAATATCCTGGCAGCATGTGAAATCAGCTCCCAGGTTTCAATGCAAATCTTTTCTTTTTACATATAAACAAAACATATGTAATTACATACATATCATACATTCTTTCGATTCCACTTCACATACACACTACACAATTGCCATATCAAATACAATGGTGGAAGTATATATTACAATGACATGATACATTTTTTACTCAAACTGAATAAAACACAGACATAAACCATCACCACGGTATTACTTAATATTTGTGTTAACTCGGATCCTTAATTACCAGGACAATAAGTATCTTTTAAAATGTTTTAGACCTAACCACCTTATTTAGTACTGAGCTGGACCCTATAATACTTGCACTAAATACTTAAAGCAAAGAGGAGTTTTCGGTAACAAAATATTCATCTTTGTTCCTATATTGATAAACATGCTGTTTCTATTAGTAAATCATAAATCACATGCGATCCATCAAGTGTTTCACATGGCACATTTATATTTTCTTTATTAAACATTGCCTAAAGTGCAAATTGTGATTGATATCATGCAGTCAAAATAACCTGAGCATTACACACTCAACTATTATTTAATACATTGTTTGAACTTCAGAGATGAGATAAAATCTTTATTCTGTGGGGTTTGGCTACATCACCAGTCTTCTTATGCATTCCAACTTCCAAGAGGCTTTCTCTTCACCTGGAAGTAAAAAGAAATTAAAAAAAAAAAAATAAATAAAAAAATAAAAATTACTAATTTCTTGTGAATCTTGATAGATGGTTCAAGAAATATCATGAGACCTCTGGTCACAACACCATACTGCTAAAGTTTGTTTCTTGAAAAAGAAAAAAAGTATGGGAATTAAAAGCCTTGTTTACACCTTTACGTTAAAACATAAAAACACATCAAAATTAAATTTTTACAGCCTAATGTAAAACCCCCCCTTTTTTGTTGTTGAAGTCAAATAACAAATATTTCACCACACCAGCGATAAATTGGAATATAATCACCACAGTTTATCATTTTTCATAGACAATATTAATCATGTTAAGCATCTCGGCAAGTATTTCACGTGTTAGTGTGAGCCTTTTCAAGTTGTTTATGTAGAACGTCAAAACATTTCCATTTTGAAAAGTGAGTATAACATCTCAGAACAAGGGAAGAGAGTTATGCATAAATTATTGAGCTGAATTTTCAATCTATGTGGACATGCATGGAATTATACTCCCAGTCCTTTCATGCTCCCAGTTATTCAATAACTGTAGGCTCGGTAGAAATAAGTTATCTCTCCTATTTGAAGGTTTTTGCATGCATGAACAATAATAAGTTAGTGCATGCCCTTTATGAATAAGAATTTACATCCACAAAATACTCTAGAAAATGCCATTCAATAATTATGATTAGAAATATTCTCAAAAGAACATGAAAATGCAATACATGCAATCAAATCCTGCCTGTCAAGGAATTACATATATATATATATATAGTTTTAAAAGGACCAATCATGGATTTTTTTTTTTTTTTTTTTTTTGGGGGGGGGGGGGGGGGAGGGGGGGGGCAGAGGTCATTTTCTTTAAAGATGTGGGATTACTAAGAACATGCAATCTTCCATTTTCTTTACAAGTACTAGTACCTTACTCAGAAATACACTCAAATCATTTTAAGGACACTTTTTCTTGACCAGCATACACTTTGCATAAAAATGCAATATTTGTGAAGAGGGAAAGTAATTTCATTGACATAGGCACCAGCACTATAAGGAGAAAATAAATTAAATTCAAGACAGTAAAAATCCCAAGAAAGGTCCCTTTATAAAACTGAAATTGATTAATGCAATCCTTAAAAACCTTGGCAAAGTTAGTACAACTGGTTTCACATCATGCAGAAACCTTCCGAGTGATTTACCTTACTGAAAAGCTTCAAGGAGCGTTTGGACTCTGAAGGCTACAAAATGGTGGGAAATATATTGGCAGTAGGAAAGACAGTGGAGGAAGGGGCCAGACAGAGAGTTTATTACTGTGTATTATCTTAGGCACAAACAACCAAAACACTCTCAAACAAGCTAAAGTGCTATTACAACCTGCTGACCCCAGTTTAAAAAAATACAGAGCTTATAAAGAAAAAAGGTATACTGGACTTCCAATTACTATCATATTTTCTGAAAATTTGCTTGATAATGAATGATTAGGTAATTTTTAAAAAATTGTTTGATATAAATTGATCTTTGTTCATCAAATCATCTGAAAAATACTATTGTGTTAAAATGCTAAAAAAAATGAACCCTCATGTCAGTATAATATTCATGAAGTTCTTTTAGTTGAGAAAGCTATTACTACCAGCTAACGAACCCCTCTGTTATGATACAAAGCTCAAGCTTTCAATTTTAACACACAAACCATTATGCATAACTCTTGCAACAAACTACTGCTATTAGTATACTTAGTTACAAGCCACTGGTCTCTTAACAATTGTTAGAAAGCAGGCATCTTTTCAGAAATGGTGACACTCAAATGGGTAAACAATCCTACTGACCAGAAGAAAGCTTTTTTTATTCTGGTCCAAATTATACTTAAGTGACTTTCCAATGTTAAAATTACAGGGCATGTCAAAGGACAGATGAAGAAACCCAAAAATATAAATCAGAAACAGCAAGGAAAATGTTAATGTGTAAAGTGTACATCTATATCACAGCTTGACTTTCATACAAAATAACATAAAGTGATAAACGAAAAATAAAGGACTTTGCTATCAAAAAATATAATTAAAATATAAAATCTTAATACAAACAACAAAAGTGGTAAATTGCCTCACAGGACCAAAGAGACGGAAGAATCCTTTTATTCAAAGCTGAATAAACAATCCGAGGAGTAAGCCCTATGAACTAGATTGAATCTCAAACACCAAACATTGCCAGTTACTGAGTTAGTTCTGCCCCTCACTCTGTTCAGCTCTCCTGGAAGACCTAGCTCTACCAAACCTTGAGATGGGCCTGTTTTCCCTGTAATTAGATCGGAACAGATTGGCAAGGCTGTATGTGCTGTTGCTCACGATATCAGCCTGCTGATGCCTAGTGTCACTAGTTCTTGTGATCATGTCAGTGACAGGACCAGGCCTGCTCCTGGTATCAGTGATGTTACCAATTGCATCTTGGGCTGGAGGACTTGGGCGTACCACCCCAACTTTCCTTTTCTTCTCTGGCTGGGGCTGCACCCCCTCAGTCATTGTGTTCTTGTCTTCTGTGCTTGGCTTCCTGGAACAACTGGCAATGTTTCCAAACTCATTCAGTGTCATTTCCTGGGGCCCTATCTCAGCATTAGACTCTCCCACAGTAACAGTGGGCCCCGACTGCTTTGATTTCACCTGAACATTTCCCCTCGTCTTTTCACTTCTTCCAGATTTTTGTCTTATTTTTTCCTGCACCATGGCTCCATCATCATGCTGATCTTCCATCTCCTGGTCTAATTCAATGGGGATAACCGGCCCCCATTTCTTCTTTCTCCTTTTGTAAGGCAAGCTGCGAGAGCGCCCTTTTTTCTTTGCACTGTCCACATAATCAGTCGGGTGGTCATCATAAAGCATGCTACTGCTCCCTGTTCTACTGGTTAGGATGCGACTACTGGTTAGATTTCTACCACTAACAGCTAGCAAAGCAGGGTTAATAGCCTGATTGTCATCACAACTGGGGTTAATCTTTTCGAACATTGTGATCAATTGCTTTACCTGATTGATCTGACTGGTGGGCGTAGTTCTGGAGGAGCCAATCTTTCCTTTCTTTCTATCAGACACCTTTGGGGAAAATCCTATGTTAAAAGCTATAGCTCCAGTTTGTCTCTTTAGCTAGAAATGAGGGAGAAAAGTTCAGTATTTGATGTCAAAATAAATGGTAGGAAACATCATAAGGTGCCATATAAAGGGTTAAAAAGGAGTCTAATGTTAATGTTCTGAGAATTAAGAGATTCTGTTTGAGGATATGTTATATTAGTGTTAAAAGAACAGATTGGTTATAAAAAGAACCCTGGTGATTTTCATATCTCAGAAAAGTATTGGTTTCCAAATCGAAGTTTTCATATTTCAACTGCATTGCTTCAAGCAAGTTTTATAAATATAAAAAGATGAGATAATTTAAAGCATTAGACTGACCTTCTGAGACTTGTTCTCTTGACAGTTTCGGCTTATTTTTGGAGTCCTTGACTTTCGTCCACTGCGTGGTGTCCTCTTCCCAGTGTTGGGGGTCCCTGGGGTAGATGGCTTAGCCGTCTTTGACTAAAATAAGGCAGAAAACATTTCATTTCTGCAGCACAAATAACATGGGGACAATCTTCTGAAGAGTGGAAAAAAATCCGAGGCACATTTTCAAACTTCTTACGTCAATTCACTACATCAATGGAGAATTGTTTCAAACCACTTGGAAAATATATTTCTTAGTTTGTGATATAAACACATATTATATACATAAAGCAGATGAAAAAAGACCGAATTCAGTAAATGACCTACTAAATGACTTACTTTCTTTCTGTCTTCCCCGGCATCATGTTCTCCAGACTGCCTCTTTTTACCACTTCTAGTGGACATTCCTCCTAGGCTACCCTGTAGATTCTCACTGGAATAAGAAAACAGTCCATGTACCAAGTTTATAGAACTATTATTATATTTTGTATTGGTTTTGATATAGCTTTACAAAACACATGCTTGGCATAACTTGACAAACAATAGTCATTTGTAAAAAGAAATAAATAATTAACGAATGTGATCAGATCCAGAATCTCGTTAAGCAAGAAGTGGAAAATAACTTGTCAGGACAACCACAATTCAAATTCCTACATTCTAAATACAAAGAAAATGCCAAGTTCAAATCAACTTTCAATGAGACTACATTATTTTTTTCCTGACAGTTTTATACCCGATACCTGTGTGCGTACCTGTTGATATTGGAAGCTCGTCCAGACCTCATCATGTCTTCGCTGATGTCCTGGGGCTGTGTAATGAGGGGATACGCAGATCTAAGGTGGGGCAGACACAGTGTGTTCCTCCTCTGGAGTTCACTAAGGCTGTCCCAGTTAAAATCCATGTCTGGCTCTTCTTCACACGCAAATAGGTTACCAGCGCCACCTGAGGGGAAGACAGAAGGCACAAAGTGTAGAATATTGTAACAAAATTGCAAAAAAAATATAAAATTAAATAAAATGAAAAAATCAAATTCTAAGTTGCCAAAATACAAAATGACTAAGCACAGTTTTATATTCTGATGAGCTGCATGGACTTACGAGGCACGCCAGCGGACCGTGTCGGTTCGAAACTGGAGCTGGTTGTGCTGGACACGCTGAGTCTCTTGGCGGGATGGTGACTCCTCAGAGTCATAGGGTGTGCAAACCCATCCCCCACTGAGGAAAAGCTGGCATCGTGGGCACTGGAAGAAAGTAAATCAATATTAAAGCTCTTTTAATTGCAAAAATGAAAATAAATTTTAGGGTGGTTTCCAGGAATGTTTCAACATTGAATTCTTAAAGTGGTGAAAGGATACTGGTGAGAAAATGAAAATGGAGACCTCTGTGAAGTATGAAAACACTGCTTTTTTTTTTTTTTTTTTTTTTGCTCAAGAAAAAAATGGTAAAGCAATTACACATTTTACTGTTTGTCCTAGTAGCAAGAAAACAATGATTTTTACTTTTTCCTTTAGCACAGACAACTGAATACTAAAAATGCTGTCCTTACATAAAAGTCAAGATAAATTTTTTACCATGACAAAAAATATTGATATTTCCATAATTTTGACATTGAAAAGAAAATACCTATTTCTGATGTCCTCGTCACTTGACGTACTCCTCCGCTCATTCACTGACATTGGCTTCTTCTCCTCCAGAGAGTCATCAAGATATTCTGAACAGATAAAAGTGGAATCAGGAAGACAATACAAAAGTGTAAAATTGCTAACATATTCCAAGAAGTTTACAATAGGAAACATTTTTATCAAATGCACTAACTTTACAGAACATTCTTAAATTTCAGTCATCTTGTATGTATATTCTGCCACAGGAAAATCATGAAGATTTCTAATTTGCCTCTTAGTCACATTCAAAGAAAAATCAGACAATCTGAAATCTTTTAAGACTAAAAAATTCATAAACATAAAATACAACATGTGCAAAAAAGGACAAATTTCTATTTTAAAAATACAAGTGAAATGCCTCACCCATACTGCCATCAAATGTTGTTTCTTTTTTAGATAGACTTTTGGCTGCAGCAGGGAAATGAGGGGTGTATCTGGGAGTGGCAAACACTCTTTTCTCCTCTTTTTCTTTTAGTTCTCTGATTTGCCTGTTGGCATGCTCTATCTGGGCTTCCAGAGAGTTTATCTGCTTGGCTGGAAAGAATGTGGAAACAAAATGAATTTCTGGTAGACCAAAAATAGGGGAATGGGAAGAAGTTGACACAGTAGACCTATGCAGCTAAAAAAGATAAATAAAAGAAAATAAGGCACATTATTATGCTTTGCAGGGTTGAGGGGCTCCGTGGGAGCAAAGAAAGTGGCAATTTGCATCTTGAAACTCACAGCAAAATCCATGTGCAACTTGCAAAATAAATGTGACTCAAATTTCTAGGATAAATCCTGAGAAGAAATGCTGTTACTTTTCCCTTAAATCATTCTTCAAGAAAGGACTAACAATGTCTGATTAGTACATCATTTGAAAACCATCAAGAGCAGGCACAATTGTGTATATCATCATCAGAACATACAAATATTGAATAAGATCTAAAGTGGTATGGACAAAAGAAAATTATTAATATCAAACTGTCTCTAAAAACTTACCAAGTCTTTTGTTTATTACTCCTTCCTCCTCTCTCTCCCTCTGAGTTGAAGTCAGCTGCTTCTTCAGCTTTTCTACCTCAGCACGGTGTCCTTGTTGCTAGAAAATACAAGCAACGTTGACCTTACGAGGGATGAGACTGCCATTCAGTGCAAAAAGTCAGAAAAATAGGCATGGGGTCCAGGGACTTGACTAGGACAAAGATATATTTGGCTCCCAAAAAGTCAGAAGTCTGCAATACTATAATGGAAATAAAATAATTAAGACCATAGTAGTAGAGTACACAACTCAAACACAGTATTGGTGCATATTCTGCTCCCTACCTCACTGCTCAGTCGTTCTGCTGCTCCAGACCTCTCTCTTTCCAGGTCTTCCAACTGTGATCTCAGGGACTTGTTCATGGCCGAGGCCTGTGATAGCTGCCTCTGGTGGTCTGCTGCTGTCTTGCGCATTTTTTCCATGAGATTCTGGAGTGTTATTTTAAAAGAATTTTAACACTCTAGATTTTTAAAATAATTCTGTATGCTAGAAAATCCATGACTTTAAGGTAAATCACTTCAGAAAGAGATTATGAATAAACTTGTCCTGACAAGTCTGAGTAATCATAAATTGGTCAATTCTTGTGATGATCCTATTTGTAAATTATTTTGAAATCCAAAGATTCATGTGCTCACCATGTTTTCTTTCTCCATATTTTTACACTTTGCCTGGGCCAGTGAAATCTCACTTTCCATAAACTGCACCTGAAACAGTAAGTGTTAAGTCTGTGTAAGAAGACAATTATTTTAAATGTCTATTTTAAGAAATAGATGAAAAAATCTGCAAACTAAAGTGTGCATTTTGTGCGAGAGGAAGATTGCAACACTTGTTCACTGGTGTTTGAGCACAAATATGCTGCAAGTTTTAAATTATTAAAAGTGACTACTTCAGAGTTTACATGAAAATATACCTGTTTCTTGGCAGTCTGTATTTCCTCTTCATACTTCATCACTTTAGAATCAGCTTCATTTAGGAATTCATCCTACAAAAAGGAAAGTTCAAAGTCAAAATTGAACAGAGGCAAAATCAGAAATTTAATCTTTAATATAAAACTGTTTTCATTGCTGTCACACTGGCACCTGTTTAAATGGAGAACACAAGTTGGAATATACAGCACAAAAAGGAAACATCTGCAACACCATGCTTTACATAAACACAAGCAAATATACAGATAAAAGCAAATTATTTTCATGAAAAGATCCCACATTTCAACTGCAATGTAGGCCTTCAATTTCAACAGACAACACATTAGAAAAATGATAATAAAAAAATAAATATGATAATGATAATAAATAAGAAAAAAATTCACCTGTGCTTTAGCATAGTCTGCTTTGAGCATCTCAATCTCATGTTCTAGTTCCTGGACTCTCTGTTGCTGACGTTCCCTCTCCTTCTTCAAGAGGTCCTCATACTCCTGCTCCATGTCACACAGCCTCTGATTGGCCCTCAGTTCTGTCTCCTTCACCAGCTGACCCCTGGCCTCTAAACTGGCCTGCTGGGTTTTGATCTGCTCCAGGGACTGATCGTAGCGATCTTTGAGCTTTTCAAAGTCAGTCTCCAGCCTGGATAGCTGGGCGATGTATTTCTCCTCCGTGTATGCCACCCTTTCGCTGGACTTGTTCTCCATCTCTTTTATGAGCTGGGTCTTAGAGTCCAAAGCATTTTGAAGCTGAGTGATTTGCAGCTTTGAACTTGAGATGGTTTCTCTGGCAGCAGTCAGTTCTGCACTGAGCTGTGCCCTGCTCTCCTCATGACTGGTTTGCAGACTACTAATCTGAGTAAGATAGCTGCCTTCCATCTCAGCCATCTTGGCACCCAATTCAGTCTTTGTCTCACGAAGTAGTTGCGTTTTATTGTCCAGATCACTCTGTAATTGAGAGATTTTTGCCTCTGCTGAGGTCTTCATGGTCTCCACTTCTTCAAGTTGTCTGCTTGCTTGCTGGTAGTTTTCATTTTCCAATTTCATTCTGTCAGCATGCTTTTCCTCCAAGTCACAGAGTTCTTGTTTCAACCTCTGAACTTGAGACTCTAACTCTTGTCTGAGTTTTTCCATTTCTTGAGTTTTGCTGGTCAGTAAATTCCCCAACCTTGCAGTCTCCCTTTCTGATTCCTGCTTCAAAGCATCCAATTCTGCTTCTAACTTCTGCAGTTTTAGATCATCTTGCTGTTTTAGATCACTCATGTTCCGGGACCCAATCTCCAGTTGTTCTTTGAGCTGGGCAATCTCACTCTCCAACTGCTGTTTCACATTTTCCATCTCTGAGTCCATTAGGTGCTGTTTCACAAGACCTTGTTTCTGGACATTTTCCAACTCCTGTGTTTTACTGTCCAACAACCCCTGTACTTTGAACACTGCAGCCTCAGACTGTTCCTTCAAAGTCTCCATTTCTTTTTTAACTGTCTCCATTTCCTTCATGTGGATGTCATTCTGATTCTGAATCTGTTCATCGCGTTCTTTCTTAAGAGTATCCACTTTTTCTTTGTAGCAGAGTTCAGCAGCTTCCATTTCCTGCACTTTCTTTTCTAATTCACTTTGCAAGAGGGTCACCTGTGCTTTAGCCTGATCGTGGTTGGAGTTGGCCTCTTCAATCAGCTGCCTCAGTACTGACACTTGTGCAGAGTGCTCTTCCCTCTCTTGACTAAGCTGCGCTTCATACTTCTCACTGTTCTCTACAACCAGCTGGCGTGATCTCACCAGCTCTTCTTTCAACTGGGCAACTGTCTCATCCAAAGAGAAGCAAGATGTCTTCTGAGACTCAAGATGTGATTCCAGCTGTGCGACGGTCTTCTGGTGTGCCAGCCTCTCTGCAGCTAACTCGGATTTGTGTTGCTTCTCAATCTCACCCCTTTTCTCCATGGCCTGCTTCAGTTCTGTCTCAAGTTCCTGACACTTCTTACTGCACTGCTTTTCCATAGCAGACAACTTCTCAGAGGCCTGTGTTTCAGCTTCCTCCATCTCTTGGCATTTGGCACTGTATTTCTCTCTCAGTTCAGCAAGTATCTCACTTGCTGCTTGCTGTTCAGCATCCAGCTGCTGACACTTGCCGCTGTAGTCTTTTTCCAGTTTAGCCAACCTCTCAGAAGAAAGCTTTTCAGCTGTTTCCATTTCCTCAGTTTTGGCACCCAATGTCTCCTTTAGCTGACTGTTGTCATTTTCCGCCTTGGTCAGTTTAGTTTTCAGAGCCTCGATGTCCTGGTACAGCTGTGACATTCTACGCTGGTAACTCTCCTGCTCCTCTTTCAACTGAGACACGTATTTCTCCTCAATCTCCGTAACTCTGTGGCTCGCCTGTTCCTCAGTGTATGTCATCTGCTTTTCATTAATCTGAAGCTTTCCCTCCAATTGCCTGATCTGGCCATTTGCTTTGGAGCACTCAGACTTCAGGGATTCAATCTCTTTCTGCAACTGACCCACTTTCTGCTCGTGACTTTGTTTGGCCTCCAGTATCTCCTCAGCACACCTCTCTCCCATCTCGCGGACGTGTTGGCTGGCACGCAGTTCTGTATCCTCCGCCTGTTGTGTCTTCAACTCCAGCCCATGCTGCAGTTTCCTGATTTCTGCCTCGCCCTTGGCCTGACTGGCTTTCAACGTATTCAGGCTCTGGTACAGACTGGCAATTTCCTGCTGGCGCTGACCTTCCTCCTGCCTTAGGAGCTCAATGTCTGACTGCTTTCTGCCCGCTTCAATTTCTGCCTCTTTCAGCTGTTGCTCTTTAGCCTCTACTTCTGTCCTCAGTCCAGCAACCTGTGATTTCCAGCTGGCCAGCTCCTCCTGTAACTCCATGACTCTCTTCTCTGTGAATATGGTCATGCATTCACCTTCAGAAAATGTTTGTGCTGAAAGGGAAAAGGAACAAAACTTCTTATAGGCACCAAATAAAAGATTTCATATTCACCGTTTTAAAAATACTTATATACCCTAATTATCTCAAATTTTCCAGGAAATGGTTTGTACAGAATCATATAGTTGGTATACATGTCATTGGGGATAGATTTTGTCATTAATTCCCTTATGTGACAAATCCTCACCCTTCCCCCTGCAATAAATAATAATAATAATAATAATAATAATAATAATAATAATAATAATAATAATAATAATAATAATAATAATAATAATAATAATAATACACATTTTTCTTAAATGACCCTTATCAATCTATATATAAATTACTCAAACCGTGCACCAAAGTCATCAAGAAGTGCGTGGTCATACCATTCTGCATGTTTTCCCTGGCCACCTTCAGCTCCAGCGTGGCCTCCTGGTAGAGCCCCTGGACCTCCGTCAACTGAACCTTTGTGTCATTATACAGGCGCTGGTAGGAGAGCAACTCCTGCTTCTGGGCCTCAAGGGTGCCCCCCATCTGGGCCTCGGTCTTGAGCAGAGCCTCTTTTTGGTTTTGCGTGGTGGTAAGGAGGCTCTGACATCGCTTGAGCTGCAATGACAATTGAACTTTATTTTATTTTTTTGTAACAAATTTTGCAGAGCTGCCTTAAAATTTTGCAATCTAAAAAAAGTTTTCATTTGTCCTCTTATTAGTGATGCATTAGAGTCACAGTGGATATTTGACTGATACTAAAATTCATTAATGTGACCCTTAAACTTGACCCCACCCTACCCACCTCCTCATTCAAAGAAGCCCGCTCTGCATACAGCTCTGTTGTCTCTGCTTCCAGCTTCTTGTTTCTCTCTTTCAGATCATTCTGTGCACTCAGTTGCATTTTCAACCTGTTAAGATAAAATGAAATTAACAATTTTAGTGCCATGAATCCACTCAAAAATTGGGGAGAAATACTTTTCATTTGAATCATCCTAGATTTTTTAGCATGAAAGCTTGTTTCTTACTTTTTGCTTATTTTCCAAATATCTAACTTAGAAGACAAAAAAAGGCAAAGGATTGGAAAATGTCAGTAACAGTTTGTTTTTCCAATTGAAAAACATGACTTCAAGTCAACTCATAAATCAGTAGTCAATGTCTGATCAACATATCAAAACTCTCACCGTGCAAATTCGTTCTCAGTCTTTTTTGCCTCTTCCCTCAGTGCATTCATGTGATCCAAGTCATCTTGCGCCAAGACAAGCTGGTGTTGCAGTCTGGCCACTTCTTTGCATTTTGCCTCTACAGAAAGAATTATGAGTGAAAGAAATAGCCACAGATTAAGAAATAACTGGACCAAACGTTTACAAATATTAACTCCCCATCACTCTATCAAGCATTTTGTGCCTCTTCATAAATTGTCTACAAAATTAGTAATAAATTAAACAAAATATCATAAATTCATTGCTAAAAAAACTCACCAAACAGCACAATTTCTTTGTTCTTCTCTTGTAAATCCCTTTGCAGTTCAGACTTCAAATGAATTTCTGAGTTCAAGAGGCTTTCCAATCGCTTAATTTCCTGTTCTTTTTGTCTAAGAAGTCTCTGCATTTGAAGAAAAAATGTTTATCTTTTGAAAACAAGAGCATTTCAGTATATGTGTTGTAAATCGCAAATTTCCTTATCTAACATGAGGCTGTTCTTATAAAAATAACATCAATAAGATAATAAGTTAAAAACTAAATTAAAACTAATTTATATGTACATTCACCCATCTATAATAATTTCTTTTTTGCTTGGCAAAATATACATTCATACCACTGTGAAAAAATTGCTTAAAACTATGTGAAATACAGAATTTTAATTCATACCGTTTAAAAAATCACACTTACAGTATATTATTTCATACTATGTAACATGGGTCAAGTTTACCAAGAAATTATAATGCAGTAAAACCCATGCTTATAAGCAAAACAATTTTGGATTCATCTTTAAGATATATCACCATTAAGAATTTATCCTACATGGAGTCCAGAAACATGAGGAAAATATCCATATAAGCATGCGTAAGCAAACAGTTCTATTCCAAGAAAGCCTCATTAGACAGCACCACCACTACCACAAAAGAAAATATTTCCCGTCTTTCACCATCACCAACATGTATACAATTAGGGATAAGAATCACATTACTGAGGAAACTTAAATGGGAGGCAGAACATTTTCAACTCAGGGATAATAGAACAAGGTTATGGCATAAAGTTTCCTTATTGCAAACAAAGCTACTGCATCACCCAAAAACCTGCACCAGAAGCAAAGGTATCTTTTATGTTTTGTTGGCTTGTTTTTCACAATAGGTCACCTCATGCAGTAAAATTAGTGTGGGTGCATGTGCGTGCATGAGTGTGTTTTTAATGCGACAAAGAGGATAAGGGAGCAAAAAGACCAGCAAGCTATCACAGGGTCATCACCTCCTGCTTTTTCAGCTTCTCCCTATCAATAGCAGCCATCTACAACAAGATTTTCACAGAAGCACATTAAAAATGAATGTTTTGGCATGTGATTAGAAATGATAAAACAAACTCTTATGTGAATAATGATTGACAAAAAGAAATGCATCCACTTTCTCACTCATAAAAAATACTTGCAAACACACTTCATAACAGATGAGTACTGACAAAAGTTGTCAGTCTTGATTTGATTACCCACTTCTGAGGCTCCCCTTGAGTGATTTGTGAACCATGATCAAAATAGACAGTTGCATTGTTTCACTACAAAAACTGTTATAGAAGTATAATAAAGAACACGATGAGTGTGCCTGTGGGTGTGTGATCAGATAACCTAGGAACAACATCAATACACCAATCATGCCTGTTCTTACCTTGTGTGCCAGTTGGGGCGAGTCCACCAGAGCCTTGAGAGGGGACTGTGGAGAACTGGAGTACACATGGCTCAGGTATGGAGAATAGGCCCCCTTCAGTGATGTCATGCTGATGGCCCTGGCCAGAGGGCTAGGGGACACCACCATGGAAGAGTTGATGCTGGCTGGATAAAGGAGTGGGGAAAAAACATAGAAAAAAATTACAACCACAAAATGCAGTCTTGTGTATAATAAAACTGAATATATGAGAATTCTGTAAATTTTGGAAGGTGCCATTTTGGATATGTCTTTGACAACTAGATTTCTTCCAATAATGTGACTTGATTCAAAATTGATGATTTTATTAAAAATAGTAATGTTATACATATTACCTTATGAAACTGCATTTATAATTATGGCAATATATTTAATTGTAGTGTTACTTAGCTTTGTAACATAAATTATTTGCATTATTGCAATATAAAATCATCAGTAATCTATAATCAACAGTAAAATTTTCATAAATCCACTCTTTCAAATAAAAGTAAAAGGAAGAAAAAATTTACACCTCTGAACAAATGAATAAACTGCAACAGTGGCAATGAATCAAACATTTACATTAGCAACACAAGAACACAGCAAACCTCGAGAGCTAAGCAGACTACAACAGGAGGAGGACCTTCGCAGTTCCCGTCCCTTCCCCCTCGAGACAGATGATACAGGCGCGGACACAAACACGTCATCCAGACGAGACGAGACGCGTCTGCTAGGTGCTTTTGAAAGCAAGTCAAAATGGTGAAAATGATAGTCAATTCGAGAGCTGGTCCTTTTGAAAATTGTGAAAAGAGAATGCGAAGGGCAATAGACATCTGTTTTGCATTTCAAAGTCTTTTTCTTCTCAAAGATACCAAGTAAATATGTAAGTTGAGAAAACCTATTTAAAAACTTATTCCAACCCTTCACATTCTGTATGGACCAGCACTTATGAAAATTAAATTCAAAACTTTGCAGCACAGTGATAAAGATATCTGTTCACTCTTAAAACATAACAATGGATATTATGCTTACTTTTTAAAGCATGTCTTTTTTTTCAGATCTTTTATTCAATAAACAAGACTGAGTACGGGGTGAACATATGATGCAAAGTTTTGATAGATCACACATTTTCTGTATCTAAATCAAGAAGGAAAAGCTACAAACTTTAAACACCACTAACACCAAAATCACTCAATACTTAATCTACAACACAGTAAAAAAAAAAAGTAAATAATTAAATCAATTTAGAAATCTTGGCATCAATCAAACCAGCTTTCTTGCACACATTGAAGGCAAGTCAAAAGGCATAATAAGGACCAATGTCACATCCTTCCTTTATGATTCCAAACATTTCTGAGGAATTAACTCAGGTCCTTATCAAAACTAGCCTTTCACAAAATGTAGCCAGAAATAATCTACCTAATGTCACCAGTAAGCTAGAGATTGCTATCAGAGATGATTGATTGTCTGCTTATGATTGTCATCACAGTGTAGTTTTCCATATTTACCTGTGACACTAAAACAGAGTCTGACTGCAAACAATACTTGTAATGACAACCTGTTAGCTAGAACTGAGCACCCCCCCACCCACCCCCATCACAACCAATTCACCATAATGGTTCGGTGCAAGATATAAAGTTCAATATCAGACTGCAGTATCTTTTGTTTTCATCTGGTGACAGCAGGTGTTTATTCCATATCTAAGCAAGGATGGCTCTAACTGTCTTATATCACACAGCAAACAGCAAAGGAAAATATTTCAGTTAACAGATACAATACCTGGCAAGGTTACACTGCACTTTAATATATCAGCAAAGTTTGGTGGTATTTTGTGGTCAGAGGACTCCATGAAAACCTCCAACATGTCCTTAAGTGCAGCCTGGGTGGTGGTGTTCAGCTTCATGGCAGACTGGATGAAGCTGGCTTGGTTGTTGCCAAATACCATGGCTATGTACAGTAGTAGCATCACAACCTACAAGCACAGGACAACTTAATTGTGACATTTACTCCCTGCCCCCCCTCTTTTTTGAAGGAGATAACATACTAAATTTCTTATGAATTTTTTTAGTAAAAAAGGTGATACTTTTATTCCTGGGGTAATTCCGAGTTTCATAATAAACAAAAATAAGGCAACTGCCTTTCAAATTTCTATGATCACATCTGTGCCACCTTTAATGAACAAAGCTAAAATAAGGAAAGAAAAAATAGCTTTGGTTAAACAAATATGCAAGGTGGCAAAAAATAAAAATCAAAGTGGGGTTGGAAATTTATCTGATAAATGACAGCTGTACATGAATGATAGCCAATGCAAAAAAGTATCAGGAATTTAAATCCTGCAATTTTTTACATTCCTATTGAGACACCAGGCTATACTTAATACACATACTTACTTTGCCAATTTCAAACTCATCTGCCTGGTCAATAATTGCCCTGAAGTTCACCTTCTCCTCTACTTTTGTATTGTTAACATCTGAGATGATTTTGTTCAGAAACTCAAGCCTCTCTTCAACAGAATTCAACTCGAGCCCTGCTGGTATGGTGTCAGGAACTCTGAGACAAAAATAAAAACATTTTACAAATGCACTTAGAACAAGGAGGGGGGGGGGGGGGGGGGAATTCACAGACTGTGCAAGTGATCATGAAACAACCCACATCTAGCAAATACCCATACAATAGCAATGATGAAGTTTCAACAAAGAATACATCCCAGTCAGGTTACTTTGTACAAAGTTTCATAATAAATCAAAAATACAAGAAGCATTTCAACAACATGTGCTTACAACTTTTATAGCTTAGACTGGCCGTTAGGAACTATTAATCTAAATATATAATTTATTTATTCACAGAATAACTTGCAAGTGCTTCTAGAAAAATATAACCTTATAACATCTTGTATACCACTCACATTATTTCCAACAATTTGATAAACAAAGTTCCATCATTCAGCTGACTGAGTGATTCTATGCATGGAGCACCATCTATGGAGTTTACCTTCAAATAAAATGTACAAGTAATAAAAATAAAGTTTGGTAACAGCTACCTTGTGGAGATCTTATAATTTGCACAGAAATATGTCTAGCTTTATGTATTACTGTAATTCTTAAACAAGGCTCACTAAGTCTGTTTTATTATGGTTGAACACATATGCTTTTTCTCTTGTTGAAAAAAGAATACCAACCCACTCCACCAGAGCACCTGCTCTGCCTGAATCCATACTCTTTCTTGTTGAATCATCCAACTGGAATCAACTAAAAAGTAGAAATGTTAGAATATTCTATAATTTTTGCCCTCGGAGGCTCCTTGGAATGGAGCCTGTGCCCTCAATAGTTCTTTACTGATGTTCTTTGGAGATGTTACTTTTTTCATAATCAGATCACTCAGTCAAATCAATGATAAATGTAACTAAAAACAGTTAATATTTTCTTAGTTTAACTCACAAAATGTGAAGCATTTGGTTAGTATTCACTATACCAGATTAAAAGCCTTGGGTCAGGCTATGAAACTGACCCAAGTGTGAAGCCAGTATTCATTTTACCATTTAACAATTTCACTTCTCCTTTAATAATTTAACCAAATAACATTCCAAAGGGGTTTCTGTGTTTTCTAAACTAGCACTCCTTTTTCATCACATTTCCTTAAATTCAGCAACTTCTGAGAAATAATATCATTTAGGTCTGGCATGATCCTAATATTGGTACTTGGTGCTATCAGAGAAGTAGAAAAAGCCCCTTTTTCTACTTCTCTGGTACTACGGTAGACAGAGATGTAAACATTTGACCGAATCAGTTCTACATTTCCTCTAAAATTGCCTTACAATGAAATCTCTTATGTGGAGTAATACAAAGCAAACATGGAAAGTGTATCTCTTTAGTAATATGCATACAAAAAACTGAAAGAACGTTTAACCGAGATATTCAGTATGATCTTACCTAATCATTTATCACGATCAAGCCACAGAGCACTTTTCAAACAACGGCGGTGGCCTCGATTTCAATTCCATAACGACTAGACACTATTTCCGACAGCTCTTATATGTTATTTCAGATCAATTACTAAATAATTTTTTGAGCTTATATGAAAATTATGGACATAGGCTGCAATATCGAAGAGTTTTCACAATACTTCATCAATATCCAACATTTTAATTTGGGAGCACTGTCGTTCTCGTATCGGGGAAGTAAATGAGGGATAAACCATCTGCGCATGCGTCACTCAGAAGGTACGAAGTATCATTATTATTTTTTTCTACACTTTTTTTTATCTTGCTGAACATTTGAAATATGTGTTTTCAATTTATGACTTTTATATAAATTTACATATATATCATATATAATTTACCCTTTTTTCAGTTCCGTTTTTTTTTTTGTTTTTTTTTTTACAAAATTTTTAAATAATAATAAAATAAATAAAAATAAAAGTTTTATTGTTATTTTAATAATAGAGACTATGCCTAACAATAAATGCAATACTTTGGAGAAAAAGGCATTAACTTTTGCTGAATTTGTATCCCATCGATTATTGGAGCGTCTTGAACATATATCGTTAGATCTATCGGCTGAACTACCAGCTATATCTTTTTTCAACTTTATGTTCTTTCTTTCATCTAAGCTGAGTCACTTCGGTCTTCTTCCAGAATTTCTGTCAAACGATTTGCATTTTTAGTGTTCTACATTGTGCGTATATACCTACTCGAACGTGAGTTTAGAAAAGAATGCAAGCATATTCCCGTTACACGATTTCTGATCCCGTTTTCAATGTATAGGCCCTACCAATTAATAATTAATTAACCAATTTATAAGCGTTAACTTACACTTTACCATCAAATTGCTGTAGACCAAAAAGGTGGGTAAATTGGGGGGGGCACCGGTCGCACAGAGGCAGAAAAACACTTGAATTATGTAGCGATACATTAATACTTCGTTAAAAGGGAAGCAATATTTCATGACATATAGACAAGTCTCTACCTGTTATATAGACTTATCGTATTTTCTATATTCATTTGCAACTTGATGTTGGATATAGGAACTAATATAAATGCCAATTATGGCTTAAACTCTAAAATATCGTGATACAAAGGAGATTAAAATGCATTTTCAAAAAACCGCAACTAAAATCAAATTTTAACATTACAGTTGATAAATGTATGAAATTATTTATAAATTGAAAGAGCACAAAGAATGTGTGGGGTATGTTGATTTGGACACAACTCATTTGGTATTCCTGCAAGTGTCTGAGAATATAGGCCCTACCGCATTTTCGTCGAAAACTATTAATTTCTAGTTTCAAGGATATTATAACACAATATCTTGAAGGAGGTATGTTCTTCCCAATTTTTTGTTGTTTATACTCTCATTTACCGAGTTTTAGTTGAGCTTGCCGACTTAAGTCTCCTCCCACGGAGGCTAGACATCGTCGACTAGCAGCTAAGAAAAAAACGGCGTAAGCGACCTTTTAGATTCTTTGTGAAACGGGACTTAGTGACGTAACGACTTAATTACGTTGGTAACCAAGCTCTTAGTCAGGGAAACCGACTTAAGTTTTTTTGTGAAACGGGGGCCTGGGATTCCCGCAGTCGTAACCGTGTAATAAACCTGCCACGCCTGTCAATACTGCGTAAGGCAGGTAGGGCGGATTTAAAAAAAATCAGGGTGTCAGTTGTTGTGCAAATAAGTAGGCCACAAACGAGGACGTATCCATTTATTAACATTCTAAGCTGATTTAGGACCGTGCGCCTTGACCCGGAGACTGTGGTTTTGTTGAAGTTCGGAGTCTGAAAATTCATAGGGACACGTTTGTGTGTTGTTGGTTATACTATAGAATGTATTGAATATGTTAAACGAATGCGGTGTGACGTATTTAAAAGAGAGGCGTGTACATACGTGGCACCATTTTTACTTAGGCATACTCGCACTTGACAGTAAATGACATAGCTGTCCCCGATATTCTTGAAGAAATTAGATCTTTTCGGCCGTCTTTTTACACGGTACGAGCGCGATGTCTTCTTGGACAAAAGAGCTACTGCAGGGAGTAGAGGCAGTGCCCGTTTTAGGCACACCTGGCAGACTGGCGGTGGTCGGGGAGAGGGCAGAGCCGGTCCTAACCAGTAAGCACTCCGAAGAAGTCGCCATGGCCGCCGCGGAGTACGGAACTGGTCGCGTAGTGGTGTTTTCACATGATTCATACGTGCTGAAATATCAAATAAATGAACCCCGTTTCCGAATATTGAATGCTAACATTACGCGTTGGCTTACTAGAAATTGGCGGCAAACACTGGAACACGTGGATCTAAAGGAGATCAGCTTCGGCTGTGATCTCCCACCACCGGGAAGCTGTGTGCTGTTGTGGCACTTAGATCCCCGGAAGCCAACGGCAGAGTTCACAGAAGCTGTTCTTGCACATCTCCAATACGGCGGATTTCTGGTATGCGGTATGTGTCCCTGGGGGTGGTTGCAGCTTAATCCTGGCAAGACACTGGATGAATTGCCTCACTCTCCAGTACTCGCTCGGCTTGGGTTGAGTTACATCCAAGGCTACGTAAACGGCCAGAGTTTAAATGTGAACGATAACATGGCGCAGTGGGCCCACATAGGGAGAGCCATTGAGGATGTCTCCCGGGATTTGAACAGGAGCGAGAAGTATGTTGAACTTTTGTCGGGAATGTCGTTGATCCCACAAAGTTTCAGGTCTCTAATCTTCAAGGAAAATCTCATTGGGTATCTAAATCCAGCGCAGTTGGAATCTAATATTCCAAGTCCTAAATCGCCTGCAAATACTTCAGCATTTCGTGCTAGCGTAAGGGTCCTTGGCATGCTTTACCGAATGACGCCTCCACAAGCATTCTGCAAGCTTCCAGGAATTGGTGTATTTCCTGGCGATTTCAGCTCCAAACCACCATTGCAAACCGTTCGGCTTAATCTGACGACCAAGCATAGGCAGCGTCTCTCAACGGGTTATTACGTCCCAGCTGGACAACCCGTTAAAGTCACTGTGACATCTGACCAAGGAACCGATCTCAGTGGTTGGAAGATATGCATTGGTGCCCATGATGACAGTTTGGTAAACGTCAAGGAACCATGGCGACGCTGGCCAGACGTTGCTGTCTTGGAAGAACTTAAGGCCACAACTGCCTTATCCTCTCCCTACGGCGGACTGCTATTCTTCGACAGTCCGGAGAGAAACGCTGAGTTGACCGTTATTGTTTGCAATGTCGTAGAAGCACCCTTCTTCGATTTAACGAAACCCGAAATAGTAGAAGATTGGTCAAGAAGGAGAAATGCTCCAGGTAAAATAAAATTCTTCTGCATTACTACTTTATTACTGCATGTATTACTTTCTTTTTAATCAGATCAATATCTAAATTACCACGTTGTGTCTCTATTTTTAGACAAAGACGCTGATAATAACGAAAGGTTTGTGTCTGGTATTCCAGGTTTGTGGGCAGAGTTGGCTGGCAGGCATATTGTATTCACTGTTCCATCTACCTCCGTCCGCGAGATAGACGACCCAACCACCATCTTGGCCCTGTGGGACTCCGCAGTGGCAGCACAGCACGATCTTCGCGGGACTGACCGCAACCTCCAAAAACGTGAGCGCGTGGTGGCTGACGAGCAACCTTCTGCTGGCTACATGCACGCTGGCTACCCCATAGTAACCCACTTAGACGTGGTCGATCCCAACTTCCAATACAACGGCTCCGACAACTTTGTATTCAGTGAGTCAGGGATGAAATCGTATGGAAATTGGGGTCTTTTTCACGAGATTGGTCACAATATGCAACGCAAGGCCTGGACGTTTTCTGGAATGGGAGAGGTAAGTGACAATTTTGAATGGTTTGTGATTTTTTTAATGTCAATGTGTAAGTTATTCGAAAGCAATTCGTGTCATATTGATCCATATGATAATACTTCCATGGCTGTACGAGACTCGCCCTTGAGGATGGTCTTGGGGCTACATTCTTACTTAGATGATAAACAAAATGAAAGTTCCTTTTTCCTTTTTATTCCCCAAACAAACCGCCACAATAACAAAAATGACGGACCAAAGGATTATAACATTGATTATTATTATTATTATTATTATTATTATTATTATTATTATTATTATTATGTTTTAAATATTTGAAGTAAGAAAAAAGGAAACAAGGATTTCTTAAACTCGCACGAAGGTGTCTTTCTATGCCAGGTAACCAACAACATCTTCACTCTGTATACGTACGAGGCGGTAACAGGGAACGATGCCTGGAACAACCCAACGATGAAGAAATTTCGAGCCGAAAAGCTACCCCGCCTTCTCCAATCACAACCTTCTCTCAGTGACTGGAAGAAAGATCCATTCTTTGCCCTGTGTGTGTATTCCCAGTTGGCCCATGAGTTTGGATGGCGAAGTTTCAAGACGGTCTTCAGGCTATACGAGAACTCTGTGAAGAAGGAGGAGGAAAGCAACCAAGATGATGGAGCTAAGATAGACATGTGGTTCGGCAGGTTTTCTGAAATCGTGCGCCATAACTTGAGCCCCATGTGTGATTTCTGGGGTATTCCCCTCAGTACTGGGGTGAGAAATAACCTGACTCTGTTCCCAGCGTTCTTGCCGAATGATGAAATTACCGCCGCGGGACAAGCCAGGGTTGACCAGGTCCTGCCTAATTATCCGGGCATTGTGAGGAGCCCATCCAGATAGAAAGGAAAATGGCCATGTCTGAAATGCCAAACTACCCAATTAATTGAGTGAATGTTTTTTTAGTTATCCACCTGAATTAGAATGAGTAATATTTACAAATTTGATACTCAAACTTTCATTATATTAGCAACTACGTTGCGGTCTCACCTTGAGACCTTTCACCAGGTGATGACCTGGATAGACTGGTCACCTGATATATTGATGTACGGCAAGGAATAGTCTCCAGCGCCCCTTCCCATATATCTGAGTTGTTATACATGAGGACTTCTTTCTTGTGAACTGTTGGCAGTCACAACAACCGCAATCCAGTAATTGTGTGTCAC